AAATATTGTACTTCAAATCATTTCCAACATCATCCTTGGGACTCAGGGGAGGGGGAACAGGCTCCATGGGCTTTGTTTGCCCGGAGTGGCTTATGGCTATCTTTCGGTTAGGTAGTCAACAACCATATTCCTAGAGAATACTTTTCTGAATGAGCTTAATCAGTGTAAGCAGGTGATTGATGTTTACCAAGCATGAATACTTCGAAACTCATTTTCCATCAAAAAAGAAAATGTCAAACAGCATCTGAACTGGTTAGCGTTGCAATTCCCTTCAATCCGCAATATTCCATGTTCACGAACCTTCATTATATATATTTATGTATATATATTTATATATCAGTTTCCGATATACTCTTGTTGGCGAAGTTGTCAAAACTTTATTTTTGATAGTATTACTACAAGTATTAAGTACTCAATTTGCAGGTAGTATACGTGGTATTCTTATGGTTCTCGGTACTTATCGGTTTCATAATTAAATGGTCAATATCTGGACTTCTCACCATAAAACCAAGCCACCGAAGCAGCAAGGTTTCTAATGAGGTGACAATTGTGAAAGCAAAGGGAAACGTCAGGACGCAGAAATAAACGCAGATGCGCAGTTCGGCTGACTACGAAGTGTTATGAGGTAGCTCAATGAGGCAAGGGGTACGTTGAAACTGTGAAACATCCACTGTGAACCTGCACCTCCGAGGAAATCTGGAACAATCGTCACAACTTACTAAGATTTCTCACTTGCCACTTAAATATAACACTCAGGACACGCGAAAATTTACGCTATGACTTCATGAGACAAAACTATGTATTACTATGTATTTACAGATTTCGTTGTACTGTTGTTTTGCGTGGTCTCATAAAGCTTTGATACCTTACGGTGCTACTTTCCCACCTTTATTTTGCCTTTGAAAAATAGTTGTCAAAGATTCCAGTCTTTTCGAATTTGAGCCAGGATTGAGGACAAGCCCAAATTTACGTCAAATCTGGATCTTCCTACTCAGGCATTCAATTCGTGTAACTGAAACTATCCCATTGCTAATGGAATGGCCTGAAATTTATTAAAACTTGTGAATTAATCTGAAGTTTGAGCGGTGGTCATTGTAATGTCAAAATAGCGGCCACATGGAGAAGCTTACTAATATCAGACTATGATATTTTATTTCGATTCGAAGGTCGTGATACGAAGATCGTTACTGAAGAGATTCGTGGACGATTACCTTTCTGTCTGAGGAACCCAAAAATACACCATATAGTTAGCACACTAATAACAACTAAGTACCATTGGAATAGTAGCATAATTATCCTGAAAGGGCATTTATGATACAGCTCTCTTCTTTGTACCTTTCGCAGAAAGCGGTCAAAGTCTTTACAAGTGAGTCAATGAGCCAATTTTTACTGCTTTTTTTCCCCATTGAAAACAGTGCAAAGATATTTAGCGGCTTGAAAATAGTTTCAGGAACCTCTTTCATCTGGAAATTTACTCATCACTATCTCTCCAAGGTTTCGTCTTTTTCACAGAAATGGGAATAAGAGTGTTAGCAGTTTAAGAGGTCGTAGTGGAATTTAGGGATAAATGTGGCTGTTTCTCACGAATTTTTGAAAGTCAGCCTACATCCATTCTCAAACTCATGCAGATACTGTAGCTATTTCCTACGAACTCACTATCATATCCATAAAAGAGAAGGTAGTGGCTCTTTCCCAATCCCACTTTGTTATATTCGCGAATAGAGAATGGCAGTGGCAGAGTAGCACTACGGAAAACACCATCACACCATGGATAACCCCCCGAATATCGGTTATTATCGATGTTCATGCTTATTTGCCGTCAGTTAGACATTTCTGGACCTTTGGTTCGATTGGTTTTAGCTAGTCATTGAGCTAAAATGTGAGGGAGATATGAACAACCTGCTAATGCCAGTCTTGGTATTTCTAGGTATGGAATAGCACCGGAATCTCTGATAACAGATGCTAAATAGATGGTAGTGGCCGTTTCTACATGTGCTACCGTATACGAGATAACACTAAGATGATCTCTTCCATACGAAGCATCCCAAAGAGACCTGCAATCCGAACCTATTATAGCTTGTCTTTACCTCCTGCACGGAAGCGATATCATGAAGTTTTCATACGACCGACGCAAATATCGCCTAATTAAAATCTACATTCACGAACGTACTATAATGAGAAGTAAGAGGAGGTAAAAGGTCAAAAATGTGCGGAAAATGTACAAATGGGAAAGTAATGTGATGATTAGATGTACACATACATACATTCATACAAAGACTACGTACATTTAATCCACGGACGGGCGTGGTCCCTGCTCAAGCTCACCCAAAGTCACCTGGCAGTCCAACCATTTTACAATTCACCAACACTTTGGCTTCCATCCCTATCTATCCATCCTTATCTACGATAGCTACGAGTAGAATCCTCGGTGTTCCGCACAAAGTAAGCTGACAGCGACGGTACACTTGTGCAACGAATCGAATGGAAGCGTTAGATATGCTATGGAGTAAGCCCAGCAGTGTTCGAAAGGCTGTTTGATTACGATGCAGCCGGCGTGATGGTAGACGAGGGTGAACGACGATCGAGTGATAGACACGCTAAATTGGATAGCGAACCACAGTCATGTAGCATCCTCTGGCTTGCTTAATATACCACCTTGATGGGGCCAGACCTAGCCAGTTTCCTTGAGGTCGGCCGATTAGCCTCAAATTGTTCCTCCAAAAGGGAGCTAATCACTAAATTGTCCTGATCATCGTGTCATGTCCCATTGAACTTATTTTCAAGTGAAGCAAACTATGTCTATCCAAGCGATTTGCTAGCCCTCCGCTACTGATCGTTGAAACTTCATTGTAATACTCTTTAAGCCTTTTTTTCAATTAGCGCTATTCAGTTCTTCACGATGTACAGAGCTGTTCATGTTTGTTTGTCCAACGACGAATCAGTGAAATGAGTGATTGGATAGTCATTTAGGGCTCTCAAAAATGTCCCAAAACTCGACTGCATCGCTGGGATTACTGTATCCTGCCGTTTGACCGAGAGTATTCTATTGTAGCCGTTATGAAGCGGAGCTCAACAACTTTCGATTCATAACAATGAGTCTTGAAGCTAAGTACCGGTCCGTATTAAGTTCTCAACCGGTTTGAAAAGTTGAAAGTTTGACAAAGGTGGAAGCAGAAAAAGTCATGGAGGATTGAAGCCACAAGCTACTTTGTGGAGCAAGGGGATAAGTCGAGTTCTCTTTATTTATTCCAACCAACTCCTTCCACATTTGTGCTGCCCCTAAACTGGCCATGTGATGTCTGGTGATTTCGGTAATTTAGTGCTGAACCTATAGAAGTCAAAAACAAAATTATTGAACATAGTAGAGCAAAATGTCACCGCGGAAATGTTGAGATCGGAAAACATTTTCCAAAGAAGTACAGTGTGATTTTTGAGCCTATAGTAGTCACACACATGTTACCTCCGAAGAATAGTTTAGTAACCCAAAGTAAAGTGTAAATTTTTCGGCATTATTTAATCTCGTGTTCAAAATCCACTCCATTCAACTTCCATTCAAAATCGTAGTAGCGTTTTGAATTCGTATGTGGCCTTAACAGTGGCTTGCGGTAGCCAGCCGATGTGCTTGTCAGTGCCTCTTGTCCTTTCAAGCGAGTCTGAAACCAATCAAACCATTTCATAGGGATGGAAATGAATAGTTGGATCGGGCTTGTATCAATCCTAGATTCGATCCTCCGACCATGTATATGTATGATAGTGCTCTGCTTGCCATTATAGCACTTCTGCCCAATGGTGATAATTTGAGCCCCTTAATTTGGCTTACTAATCACTCCCGAAATTCACTCCATTGTGGTTTTTGGAGCGATCTTTTTCATTATCTTTCTAGATGGATGATTCTTTCTATCTTTCTTTGTAAGCTTTTAGAATATACCATGACCGACTTTCTCTTAATCTTGGCATGACCTTTGACTGATATATATGTAAATTTGTAATTTATTATTTGTCAGTTTGATTTTTTTGTAAGCTTTGTTCCTTGAGCGCAGCAAAGAGTAATAGGTGTACACCCCAAGTAATGTACAATATCTAGTGCTGAAATCTTGAATAACTGTCGTTTTTGGTGATCTTTGGAGCTTTTGCCTTATATTTAAGTTCTCTAGGTAGTGAACCACAATCAATTAGCAGGTGTTCTTCTTTTTAAGCAAAGATATTTTCAATTTACTTCCATTCATGGATTTGTTGTTTACCACCATGTTATTAATTGAAATGGAATGTGAAAGTCAAGCTTTATAAACATTAGTCAGAACACCTGCGTTCTGAAAACATTTAGGATTAAAAAGGCTTTGAATCGTTAGATGATTGGCTCGACAGCATACTGTGTATGCCTGCTGTAATGCGGTCCTTGGCTTTGACTAGTGTTACTCAAGTTAGATATTGACCTTTGTCTCCTGTCAGAATGATCCAGTGGCTACATTGTACTTTCAACTTGTCCAGAATAATTTTCTCGATTCCAGAACAATGACTTCAGCTGAGACAGCTATAGAAATCTTCCAGTCAGTCAACACGGTCATAGCGTGTATTTCTTCATTCGTCCTTCATGGATATATGATACGACGTATAAAGCTAAATGCTGCATCTCTCAGTCACTATCAGAACTTTCTCGTTTTTCAAAGCGTCGTTTATATTCTTGGATCAGCTCTTCGACTTATGCTGAATGAGGTAGGCTCGAATGTCGAGTTTTATGGGATTCGAACTCTAAGGAATAAAAGTAAAAATAGTAGGGTGTACGAGATTAACAGGCGGAACTGATATAGAAGGGTATTCGGATCAGCTTTCAGTCGTTCCAATCACGTAAAAAGCTGGCCAGAGTAAGCCCCAATTGTCTGTAGATGCCTTCCCCCACTCTCGCTATTGGTTGCTTGAATTTCCAACACAAATGTCTCTTGTGAATGGTGCAGGCTTTAAAACACCGCAAAAATTCGTTTGCCTCTAACCATAAGTGTAGACGTCGACAATTCTTTGTTAAGCCCTTCTCGCGACTCATTCGACTTGACAGCGCCCTATAGGGCATATATGAGGCCAAAGGCTCCTCCTAATTAGAGGTTCTCTTGTCGTCGTAAGCTGAGCCTTCAATGAAGTTTTCGCTTTTTTTTCAATAAATGTTCAACCTATAAGAACTTTTTCTACTAACGCGAAAGTGTAGTGCATTCTAATTGTGCCAATGGTAAAGTGAACGGTTGGAAAGTATTTTTCAATGATTTTCAGAAGACGACATTGAATTTGGAGGTTCGGACCGGCTATCCTTTTGTTGTGCTGCCATCGTGGTTGACATCAGTGCTGAGTCCTGCTTGTGTTTTTGTAGAAACTGGTGAAAGCATGTTGCTGACCCTTTTCAACATTCAGCGAGTTTTACTTTTCCTGAAGTGAGTTTATTCACCGTTGAGTAAAATAACATATCGCTTCGAGGATTTTTTTCAGGCCTGGTAAGATTGGATTGTTCTACATCGTCAGTTTACCGATCGCTTTCTTCGTAACAGTTTTGGTTGGAGTTTCAAGCTCATTCTTCGGAGTGAGTTATTCGAGGTTTCCACGTTTAGAGCATCGTTCACGTCTCTCAGAAAATTTCGAGTGGATGAACGCTGCAGACTAGACTGTGTAAAGCTCAAGAATTCGAACTATCGCTTATTTTGAGCTTGGTGGTTTTGAGAGGATGTATTAGATGAACACGGTAAAAGTGCATGCCGTCGGTAACGACAAGGTACGGTAATATCGACACTGCAGGAGTTAAGGTAGTCGTAGATTGTTTTGGAGAAACCATTGAGAAAGTTCAGGAATTCCGATATCGGAAAATGGCCTTCCGCAAACAGTAGCATGGACTGAGTTGTTAAGGTTCGAAAAATGCCGGCATGTACAATGGGCAAAGAGTGAACTGGTAAAATCCGTGCGCTGGGTGAAGGTGGTGTAGTGGCAAGTGGTGCACACAGTACACGGACGTTCGAATACCAATTCGGTGCCCGCCTAGAGCAACCGAACCTTCCATCCATCCTCGGCCGCCTAGGTGGTAACAGACAGCGATAAAACAGACAGCGGGAGGATAAAAGTGCTGACTTGTACGTAGGCTGGCCAACGCAAGTCAATGTATAGGCCACATACGCACTCAAAACGCCATTAAGATTCTGTATAAAAGTCGGATGCTCGTGCTCATCCCTCATACGGGACTGATTAATGTCAAAACATTCAATACTCTTTCTTTTGTTTCCCGCTGATCTGCTGCCATTTTTAAAGCGAAATTTCACGTCTGGGAGAAACCTTGGTACTGGATATTGTAGTTTTGTCTTACTTTGTTCTAGTCCAATCTAATTTTAATTTTGTTCGCCTGAAAAGACATATTACTCTATCGAAGAAAGCCGATCTAATACGCTTTCGCCCAGGATATATCCTACTATTGCACCTACGTCTACTACGTTGTTATTCTGGGAATTGTGTTCATATGTTACTTTATTCTACGTCGTCACTTCCGACTCCACTACTACTCGGACGTAATTCGGAGAGCTCAAAACAAAATGTCAAAAGGCTTACTAATACAGGTATGTTACAGTGTTCCTCCATCGAATTTGTCTATTCGCTCCTACCTCTTTTGGAAGGAGCAGTTTCCGAGCATTGTACAGAGTAAAGCCATGTACAAAGTTCATAATCTTTCCAAAGCCCTCCACTCAAAAAACTCTCGGATTCCCATTAGAGCTTATAAGACTTCTGCCAAGCCAATCCTTGAATCCGGTACTACAGTTTTTAGCCCCTAAAGGAAAAGGGGTGAAAATGCAGTTGGGGGGGGGGGCACCCATCTTAAGGTCAGTATATCAACAAATGACCTCAATGAAACGCGTTATGCCGTGTTATATCACGGACACGCGAGTTTTTAAATAAGGGCTTTCGTGGGGAAGGAGCAAGTTTCTTTCTTTTTTTCTTTTTTTTTGGCAGGAGGTAATTATCCCAGCTACCCAGGTGCTCTGGCTTACCCTACCTATTTGGGGACTAAATTTCCTCAGCTGAACCGCATGAAAGAGCTAAGGTGGTCGGTTCCCATCATCCTCTACGCATCCGATACAGTGCTAATATAACAAGAACTAACACGTTGGACTGAGATCATTTCTTGATATACTGACCTTCGGATGGGTGCCCCCCC